ACGTTCAGTCCTGTTATTAAGCCATCAACCCACAGAATCATTCTTACCTTAGCAATTACAAAGGAATGGACAATTAGACAGGTAGACATCAACAACGCTTTCCTTAATGGAGAGCTGGAAGAAACTGTTTTCTGGAATCGACCAGAGGCATTTGTGGATAAATTGAAGCCCAATCATGTATGCAATCTGAACAAGGCACTCTATGGGTTGAAACAGACACCTAGATCCTGGAATGAGAAACTAAAAACTACATTCTGAACTGGAAATTCAAACAATCAATGGCTGACACTTCACTCTTTTATTTCAAAAATGAAAATCAAATAATTTTTGCACTCATCTATGTGGATGACATTGTGATAACAGGTAATAACAAAGGGTTGTTGCAGGAGTTCATAGACAATCTAAACAAAAAACATTCTTTGAAAGATCTGGGAAGGCTGCACCACTTGGAGTTGAGGTATTATGGCATGAATCTGGTATTCATCTTACTTAAACCAAATACATTGCCGATTTATTTAAGGGGTTTGAATTGCAAAATGTAAAACCTTGCATTATTCCTATTCCTGCTGGAAAATAAATGTCAAAAACTGAAGCGGAAACACTGAAGAATCCTACAGTTTATAGAAGTGCTGTAGGAGGATTGCAATATCTCCAATACACCAGGCTAAATATTACCTTTGCTGTAAATAAGTTGAGTTAATTCTTGCAAACTCCTACATCATCACGCTGGCAAGCACTGAAGAGGGTGTTCAGATTCCTAAAAGGGACAATATATCATGGACTTTGGATTCAAAGAAGTGACAGACTTACTTTGAATGGACACTCAAATGCGGATTAGGCATCTTGCCCTGATGACAGAAGATCAACCACCAGTTACTGTGTTTATTTGGGTGACAATCTAATAAGTTGGTCCTCTACTAAGCAACATGTTGTAGCACGTTCAAGTATTGAATCAGAGTATAGAGCACTTGCATCAACTGCCTCAGAAATATCCTGGGTTCAGTCATTCTTTCTAGAACTGCAATTGCCTTTGGCTGAGATTCCAACTATTTGGTATGACAATATGAGTGCTGGAACATTGGCAGCTAATCCTGTATATCATGCCAAGACAAAACATATCGAACTAGATGTGCACTTCATCAGAGATAAAGTCAATGCCAAAGAACTGGAAGTAAAATATATTCCCACTTCCGACCAGATTGCTGGCCGGTTAACCAAAGGATTGAATCATTCAAGGTTTCTATTTTTGAAAGACAAGCTTGGAATTACTCTAGCACCTCCTAGCTTGAGGGAGGGTGTTAACTGAAGTAACCAACTTAACTACCTTATCCTTATCTATTTCCACATCAGCGACATCAGCCAAGTCATGAACTAGCGGAGCATTGCATCAGCAGCATTATTCTTGCGATTTTTAGTGTTGTGCTAGCACTAGGTTAGTTGTAAATTATTCTAGACAAGACCCACATTTTTAGGAACAAACTAACAGCTGTCCTTTCTAGATCATTCTTTGTATATGCCATTGTATTATTTAACCTTCATGTGACTAAGTAATCTACACGGCTGATTGCATATTCTATCTTCTTTGAATTCTAACTTCTTGAACTTTGTTCTTTACGAGAGTAAGAAACACACATCAAAGACACAAATACAGGTGCCACGACATTTTAATTATTCTGGAACCAATACCATGGAATGTAATGTAATCTACATTCAACAAAGACAATTCTAAGTTTTTGTTATCTGCGCAAGAAAGATGCTTTAGGATTTCATACCACGGATTGGCCTACTATATGATTCTCACAATATATTGTGTTTTGCTACATCAGGACATAGTAGGCTTTAATTTGCCAGGTGATTGGTTGTCCCAAGAAAATAAGTCGATTTCATGACTAACAGCACCACTTTCCAAATACATCAATAATTATCCTTGTTACCTGCAATATTATATATATTGTATGTTTAAAGTTTTTTCAATAAATAAAACATCTTAAACGCTTAAAAATATACAATCATGGATGTTAGAATTAGGGTGTGACCCAAATTCTATTTGGAAGACTACTTGGGAATTCTATTTGAAGTATAGTTGGGAATTATAGTTAAAGTCTATTTGGGAATTTAAGTTAGAATTCAATTTGGGAGTAGGTAGCAGACTTGAAGAGCTCTTGAAGGAGTCCAAGATGGATTGGAAAGGTTTACGCGAGACACCACTCGCTTCATGCCTAAGAGAAGCTCGAATGCTGAAAACAAAAACCCTAGTGCTCACTAGGCGCCAAGTTACCACTCGAGCTCCGCGGAGATGCCACTCGAGCAGTGGTGATATTCGAACAGTTTTTAATTCTATTTTTTGGCAATTTTTTACTTATATTTCATCCCAAATATTTCATTATTAGTTTTACTCATTCTATTGGGACTTCACATTAAGGACTCTTTTTAAAGCCCAACTCGACCCCAACTCTTCCAAAACTTCATGATAATATAAATACAACTCTAAATACCACTTTTCGACAACAATTCAAGAGGGCAAGAAGCAAGAAATCGAGGAAGAAAGCAAGAACAACATTGAGGAGAAAAGAGAAAAACTATTTTCTCTTACTTCCATCATGAACTAAATTCATATCTAGGGTTTAATGTAACTAATTTGAGATTATGTTTTGATTATTAAATAGTTATTTCTTTGATATTTTTCATTCTGTTCATTTGTGTTACTGATTTTAATTCTTTCAATTATTTGATCACTAATTGAATGAATTGACTGTTTAAGTTTCGACATCGAGAAAGGAAAACTTAATCGCGATCTTAGAATAACACAATCTAAATTTTATAGGTTTCAAGAGAAAGTATAGAATCTTTGAAGTATGTTCCACTTAAGAATCATAAACTTGATAATTTCTAGATATTTAATTCAAAATAGAAATGTTGAAATTGAATTCTATGAATAGTTTTTACTCTACACTCGAGATAGGGACTAGAATTAAATTAGGATTCTTATAAACTTATAAATTAGGAATAGTTTTTACTCTACAATACGAGCCGCTCGGCTCGATTGCCATCACTAGAATTCGTCATCACATTCATCACTAGATTGAGCCCTTGTTTGAACGCAATTGTGTGGGAACCACAATTGATTTTTGAGTCAAATCAACGGAACCAACAATTTTTATATGTATTCTCTTTCATGCGTTTCAACATTGCCAAATGTCCGTTTTAACCCTCGTGAATGTATTTTTGAATATATTTACACTTGTCCTATCTGGTTCCTTATCTTTGACCATTCAACAATACTAAAAATTGAGATTTTTGAATTTCCGAAGAAATAATGACGTTGCTTGTTTGTGGAGCCACTCCCACACGTAAACAATTTATGGAATTGAAGTAAAAATCGGCCATATATGAATGAAATCTATTAATTCAGTTTTTTTTTTTTTTCATTATAACAACCAATTCAAACTCTATCACAGTCATGTTAACAAGATGACAATGATTTTTTTGTGGTTTACATGCACATGAATTTTCATTGTTGATGTGCCAAATAATCGCGTAAATTATCTCACTCGTTTAGTGGCATTCCAGGTGCATTCCATTCAACGGTGATCTCATCATGTTCGTCTGATAGCTCCACTTCTGCAGCGTCGAGATCTGTTTCCACTCTCGTAAATGCATCGTCGACCACTCCTGCCCGTCGAATGAAGTTATTAATACACAGTTGCTATTACAACAACAATCTGCGCTCAGAAATTGTAACTCAACATACGATCGAATATTTTCCACCAGCTTTTCCAAACACCAAATGCATGTTCGGTTACATTTCTGCATGACAAGTACCTAAAGATAAATTTTACACCCGTGTTTCCAAAGTTGCGCCTACGACCTGTCTCCCCGTCATAGAAGTGCCGGAAATGTTACAATACCTTATATGGAGCCATAAACCTAGGTTAATGGAAGAACCCCAAGTCGACTAAATATTTTCCCATAGTTGGTTGCGAAAAATCAATAGCATGGTTGTATGTAGAACGAGCCAAAATGCGAGCATCATAAGTATTCCCTGTTGTACCGCCCAACACAATTGTGAAATACAAATTAAAATCACATGCCGCAGCACATTTTGTGTTGGAATTCCTTTGCGTCCAATAAAATTCACTCATTGATCCCGCGACAACTCTTGTTTTACCCTATAGATGCTATTGTTGTGTGAAAATGAGTGTCAGATTTCAATAAAGAAATTTGAAATGAAAGACAAATGGTCCGAATTATAATTTTCATCCTATTTTTATGTCGCCCTGACAGGAGTTTAATTATAACTATTTATTACAAATTTCAATTAGAGGCTAATTCATAATAGTATTTAGAGTGTGTTTGGAACACATTCTTTTGAAAGAATGTATTACTAAATAGTAAATTGATGGAGAATGTGTGGTTAAAAATGAAGAAAAAGTTATTGATGTGATGGAAAATATTATTTTATTGAAAAATGTGTAGTTAAAAATGAGTAGAAGAATGAGAATGAAAAAAATAATGTGTAAAGAAATTGAATTTCAATTACTTTGAGTTCAACATCCTTACTTGATTGTTATATTATAAAACTTAACACCGTACACTTGTAGTATATTTACGTTATAAAAAACGCTTAACAAACTCTATACACGTTGAGATTTACTTGAAGAAAGAATTTTGATCACATTGCATCAAGGCAGTTTTGATAGGGGGAACAAGTTATAAATGCCTTAAACCATTTTACTATTATTAAACTAGACATTTACAATTAAAGAACTTAATATGAGCACGAGACCCAACTGTAAGAAACTTTGTTCTAGTACTAAGCATAATCTTTTATATACGTATTTTCTAAACAATAATAGCAGCATGAAGCTATATATATATATATACTAATTACTAAGTCGTAATGGAATGTATCTTTTCCTAATTCTGGCAAACCAAAATTCTTCCTATTGTGTTACGCTTCACCAAACTTGGTACAGCCGATTGTTACACTTCCTAGTTGATCATGCTACCTGAAAAAGATAAGATATTACGATAATTATCCAAAATATTGTAGAAAAGAAAAACACATTCATTCACGAAACTCACAAGGCAATGATGCTCCAACTTCCCTTTTTACAATCATGGTTTCATAAAGTCTAGTTTCAGCTGTTATGTCTTGTTAAATTAGTAACATCTCGCAATCTTGTTTACAATTCCCATTTCTCTGTTTATGTACTAATTGAATAGATCAATAGACCAGGTTTTGTTGTATTATATTGCAAGCCCTTAAACGTTCTCTGTATGGCAAACATTCTCTCAACAAGGCAGAAATAACAAAACTATATGTCCTTTCGTTAATGGTTGCGGAATATTCTCAGCATGTGTAAAATATTTCCTACGAGAACAGTGGATAAATATATGCTTACCATGTAAATATAGGGATTGCCACGACCTCCTGCGCCAAACCTCTTTACCTCCTCTAGCTTCAGCAACCTGCATATGACCAGATTTTGTCAGCCTCTTCAAGCTCCAGAGCTAAAAGGTGAAATAATGTTCGATAGCCATTCGAAACACCAATATTGTTTGTCTTATCCTTATCGAAGGGGACGTGCTTCCGCGTCAATAATGCAATGCATTGTATTCATATCAGTGTTGTGTTTCGTAACTAAGGCACACAGAAAGAAATAGAGATTTAATATTCACATTCTTAATGCTTTGCTGGTGGAAGGGCTGTCACCGAGCAATTCACGGATCTTCACTTCAGAAGCACTCCCAACAGATAGAACCCTAAGTATGGCCTCAGCTCGGTGTCCCATATGATTTGAGCCAACTGGTTTCCTCGGTTTGTCAGTAGTTCTAAGAACGTTGGTGCAGCTTTGAGCACTGGAAACAGAACTGGAGCCACTGGACAAGCATGATGAAACTTCAGTCATAATTATCTCAGACGCAGAGTCAGAAGATTCCGGCGCCTGCTCTGGCGAAATTGCTAGCTTGCCGGAAGTTAGTTTCTTGCAATCGGAGATCCAGATGCTCTTTGAACGTTTCTTTCGCACGATCTGGGAAATGTAAATATTTTGTAGCATTATGAAAACAATTAGACAGAACTTTGCATAAAAGAATTTGTATTAATTGTTGAGATGATAATTTTTTGGTGCACACTAAAAATGTGTTGAATTCAATATGATTATTGATTACTATATTTTAAAGAAGAAACTGAATTCGACTGATCCAAACATCACTAATCATTTCTCTAGGCTGTTTCAAGATTAAAGCAGAGATATAAAGAAAAATCAAATCAATCAGAGTAATGCTTCAATCAAAGGACAGTAAAAACTTAATTACCTAAAGCACCACATTTACCTAATAAAATCACAAAAAGATTGTGAAAAACTTCAAACAATAGTGGCAGCATAGATACAGATCAAGTAACTTCAAATACAGGTTAATTTTAATACTGCACTGCAGAATAGAAAGACATTGAAGTTTTGATGAACAGAAAACAGCGAGTAGCTCATCTCTCTGAATCAAATTAGAACTGAAAAGTGAAAGCATTATTTCATATGAACCAAATATAAGGTTCAAGTTTCAATGCATACCTAAAACAATTGGAATAATCATATAGTTAATCAAATACTAGCACACTAAAAAATTTTGTTCGTGACAAGTATCACAAACTTTTGGAATCAATTTTGTAAAATTTACAATAAAGCACTCGATCAACATTAACATAATCAGAATTCAAAACCTGCAGTACATTAATGGTAATTTCCATGCTTAACGAGTTATTGATTACATTATTCATAGTCCATACAAGATCTACATAAACTGTTGTGCGATTTATTTTGCATCACGTGAAGAATTCTGAAAAATTTGGATGTTCAGCGCCGGTTCAGTATAAACAACTGTTAGTAACGCATGGAACTGGAAAAAGTGAGCTAACGATATTATGAAAGATAGGAATCAAGTAGATCTGCCTTTATGTGGAATTTACAATAAAAATACGCATGAAAACTATTCATGAAGCACAATCAATTATATTAGTGTTCCAGGAACAAACGATTGCATTATTTCAAAAGCAACTTAAATATAAATGAATAATAAATTTCAGAGGTGTAATAAAAGAGACTTACTCAAACTTAGAAAATGTAGAAAGCAATATTATCAACATAAACAAAACAGAGCAAATATACGCAACTAAATTTTCAGTGGAAAACTGAAATCCATAATGATTTGATTCCGTAGCAAAACCGACAGAGAGCAAAAGTAGATTCAATGGATAAAATATATCCGAGACTTATAGAAAAGCAATCAGTTAGCAGTTTGCTATCATTTTGAGCTTCAGCTCATGGAACGGATTCACAAACGCGATCACCTTCAGCCTAGGATCTCGAGCTGACGCTGTTGCAGTCGATGATTCATCATCTACAGTCATCACAGTGCTCGAATTTGAAATCGAGAGTTTTGGATTCACGAAGCTCTCAGAACTGCAGCTCTTATTCTTTGCTCTGAAGAAACTAAAATAAACAAATACAAAGCGAAAATCAATCAACTTCGATAAAACAAAATTGAGAATGATTTGGATGAATTTTCAGTTTTGATGGATTTTACTTTGAAGGGGAGGAGGAAAGGAGGAGGAGAGCGGAGGCGACAATGCGTTCGATCTTTGACGGAAAAGAAGCTTTCACTGTTCGCGAAACCATTTTAATTACCCTGCAGTTTGAAAATGGCGGGGATGCTTTGGGATTTTGAAATTTTTTGTTAGTGAAATCTGGAAAGTGAAAATACGTTTTGATGATTCGTTTAACAGTTAGGGAATACGAAATTAGCGTGCCACGTATTCGTGTCATAATAAATTTAATTAGGGCCGATCTGTTACAAGTGTGTAAATGGACAATAATGCTGAGTCCAATGTAGAAGAAACGCAATTTTTTTATTTCTTCTTTTGGGATAATATGAAAACTATCCTACCTTCAAAATATTCCCTTTTAATAATCATGAATTAAAAAGAATAATTATGTTCCCACCAATTGGTCCATAAATAAGCTAAAATTTTATAAATGCAATTTAGAAGAAATAAACCACATTTCATAGAAACATGTTCGGATAAAAACTTTTGTCTCTTGAATTAATGTACGGATAATACTAAAATAATTTAGCAAACTTTTTAAATAGGAAATGGGAAAAATAATTTTTTTTGAGATATTGGTTCCAAAACTAAGGTAACAGGTTGTATTTTAAATGTTAGGTTCTACTATAATTGACTATATCTGAAACAAAAATCCTATTTATTTTAGTTGTAATTAAGCCCATGTTTGACAATCATTATTTCAAAACTCTTTTTTTCTACATACTCATTTTCAATCATACATTCATATAGTAAAATATTTTGTAAATAAACCAAAAACTTCTCTACTTTGGAACCACGAATTCTCCAAAAAATTACTATTCAAAACTTCATTTTATCCAAATAATAGTTGTCAAACGAGGGCTAAAGTCAAAGAGTCGGAGGTTGGTAGTATATCTTGAAGGAGTAAAAAATGTCAAAGATGGACCAAAGGAGCTAATTTGGAGCAAAATCGCTAACGGCCACCAAAGAACCGCTCGAACACTCAAAGTAGGAACATGGCCGCTCACTAGCTGCCTCCCTGTCGCTCGAGCAGTGGGCTTACTACTCGATAGTCGTCTGCCTTGTGCTCAAGCGGCATGTTTATCCGACAAAACCCTAGTTCGCGTAAGTAGCTTATCTTATAGCCCTAAACCACTCCATATAATAAATACCCAAGCCATAATTGCATCTCAAATCCTACAAGGTATTGAAGTTGTAGAAGAGGAAGCTGGAGTTCCGGGTACTTCGAAACAAATTTGTTCTTGATGATCCGATCGGAGAGAAAAGTAGTCTATAGTTGTTGTAGACATAAATAAATAAATAATGGGTTGGGTCAATTTAAACAATTAGCCCAATTAAACTAAAACTTAATAAACCCGTAAGATTTTAAAAGCCCACCTTACTTTTTTTAAAATCCACAATTATTCAATTATGATCAATTTAATTGAATTAATTGAGTGGCTACTAAAATTGGCCAAGAATTTCTCCTATAAATAAGATCAAAGGTCCATTGCAATGGGGGAGGAAAAAGTGAAGAAGAAAATCACGAAGTGCTGAAGTAATCCCAAAATCGGAGGGAAGAGAAGAAATTATCTCAACCCCAAATCCGGAAAACATGAAGAAGATCAAAATCTTCTTCAAATCAAACAAACTCAAGAAGATCAAAATCTTCGTCAAATTAAATCAAGATCAAGCCCAAGTTTCGAAGTCCAAATCTAAGTACTGAAATTCAAGTGTCAACAAGTCAAGTTCTCGACAAATCAAATTCTCAACAATTCTCGAAGTCTTGGATTCAAGCCACGTGACTCATCGTCTTCAAACATTCAAATCATTAATCAGAGGGTTTTGCAATTTTGCAATTACAAGAAGATTCTCATTTATTTGTATTTCTTAAAATACAATTTGTGACGTTTTCTGTATTTTAATACGCGAAATCCGTCGTACAAATTTCTTGGCACGCCCGGTGGGACCTTCTTGTCCTCTCATCTTTTGATCTCAGAATTTTCAACTTTCAACCACTACATCAACAATGGCAAACGGACAAGCGAAGCAAACCATGACTCATCTCGAAGAGACACTTGCTGAACTGTTCCGTACGACCAGAGCCCAAACAAAAAGTGGGAAAACTCAACTGGTTCCACCACTAAAGAAGTTCTCCAACAAAGGCAGAATGAAAATTGCTTTCACAAAGCCAAGTTCTCGTTCAACAGAAAAGACCAAGAGTTCGGCGAAAAATTCTCGTTCGGGCTCCATCTCCAGTGGCAGATCCTTGTCCGGATCCCCTCATACCACTTCTCTACAAAGGTGGGGAGACTATAGTTCGTCTGAAGAATCACTTGAGCTAGTGATAGTCACAGAGGCGACTTCAGGCTCAGATGATCGAATCCAACAAATGGCTTTAACCATTGAAAAACTAACGAAGTCACTAGAAGAGAAAGACACACAGGTTGCTGCACTCATGCACAAGCTAGAGCTACAAAATTTGTCGACTAAAGATCAAGAAAATCCAGAATCTTCGAAAAATAAGAATCTGGAAGTCCAAGAATGCCAACAGAAACAAGATATACATGATCGAACAGTTTTTCAAAATGTTCTGCGTGATACCACTCAACTCTCAGTTGGCTCTCTATCCGTCCACCAGCTTCAGCATATGTTTGCGGATACCATTCGTGCTCAATATGGTGGTTTATTGCAATCTTCATTGGTGTATGTCAAGCCATATAGTCGTCGAATCAATGAGATAAAAATGCCACTCGGTTACCAGCCTCCTAAATTCTAATGTTTTTATAGGAAGGGCAACCCAAAGCAACATGTTGCTCATTTTATTGAGACATGTAACAATGCAAGCACTTACAATGACACCATGGTGAAACAGTTTGTACGCTCCCTCAAAGGTGCTGCGTTCGAATGGTACACCGACTTACAGGCTGGGAATCAATTCATAGTTGGGATCAACTTGAAAAAGAATTCCTAACACGTTTCTACAGCACCAGGCGGACTGTCAGCCTTCCAGAACTTGTTCGAACGAGGCAGAGCAACGAAGAGCCTGTTGTAGAGTACATTGAACGCTGGAGGAACCTCGTGCTCAATTGCAAAGAACGAACAAGCGAAGCCTCTTCCATTGACATGTGCGTACAAGGCATGCATTAGGGATTACTTTACAATCTTCAAGCAAATATGCCTCACTCCTTTGAAGAGTTGACGACACGCACCCATGACCTGGAGTGATCCACGTGACAAGAAAGATCCCAAGAAAGAAATAAAGAAGGACTTCAAGACAGGTAAGTCCAAAGAGGAAATGGCAATTTCCACAATCCCTGCAAAGATAGCCTTCGAAGGGTCGAGACCAAACTCAATACCAAAATCAGATTTTAGACCTACCAAAGGACTAGTCCAAAGCAAAGGTCATGTGACGTTGAAGGAACTTGAAGAGAAAGAGTATCCATTCTTAGAGTCTGAAGTTTCTGAAATTCTGGATCAACTCATCGAACAAAAGATAATAGAACTTCCAGCACCAAAGAGACCTGAGGAAGTTGAAAATAAGATCAAACTCAAAACTGAAAAAAAACCTAACGGCCGCCTGCTCGATGGTTTCATTTGGATCATTTGATCCAATCACATACATTTTTCCATTCATACGCTACTAGTAAATCTTCAGTTAAAGATTTCGGACAGCGACTTCCAGAAAGAGCCATCCCGGTGAAGTTTAAAGTAGACGGAGAAATTACCATCAATTACGTCCATCCAGTGATGGACGGACCACATGCACCTAATCGTCCAACCTTTTACGAAATTATGACAGATGACTTGGATGTTTGGGATTCTGATTCAGAGTCCAAAGACGAGATCGGTGATGGTTGGTCTACCTTCATAAGCAAGAAGGAAAAGTACCGAGTGTCAAACAAAACAGGTAAAATATCACCTTCTACATCTCTTAGAGGACCGAAATTGGGGGCATTGGGTATTCAAGTTCAACCCAATGAAAAAGTATGACTAGAAGAAAATAAGGAAGGATGGACCCTTGTGAAAAGACACCATCGAACGATTCCACAACTTCCAAGTCCATTAACGGGAAACAAAAACTAAGAAACAACCAAAGAAGAAGGTCTAAATTTGGGCCAAAAGTATATGCTAAATCAACGGGAGTAGAAATCGCTTCATTCTTTCATTCTAAATTACTGACCCTAGGTGATTATTTTTCCAAGAGTTTCTTCTACAATGAATGTTTTACCTTCCATGTTATCAATGTGGAGGAGAAAAACGAAG